AATTTTGGCATAATCTTGCACCTAAGTGTCTGATATTCAAATTTCGCTTTCTGGGTGAAAACTACTCGAATTTCCTCACTCACGTTGTTACGACTGAATCGACTTTTCCATTCTCTATCCAACGATGCCAAAACGAATTCGGTGGCTCGAATGGTTCTTGAGAAACTTCGAAAAAAGCAGCGTCGTGTTCAAGTGGATTTCGCAACTCAAAAAAAACCATTTGATGATGAAAGTTTTTTTATTCAAATTGGATGAAATGTTTAATCGGCCAAAGTTGGGGATGATGCGAAGCTATTGTAGAAAAATTACGGAATTATACACGATTCGGGTGTAAGAAGTTTTTGGGAAACGTTGTTGTCCCCAGGAAGTCTAAAGAGATAATGGCTTCGGTGAAATGCAGTTTAAACTCTATTTAAGTAAATTAGTTTTATTCTATGCGGTCAAGGAATTTTCAAAACTCCACAAAAGTTTTACAGGGTGTTCCAAATTGAATCGTTTCGCAGACTTTATGGGCACATTCTGCATGCAAAAACATTACAAACATGCCATATACACAATGGCCGAAAAGTACTTACACGTTTTTTGGGCGTAGGAACTGCCCTCAAAGTCTCGCAGTGTAAATTCGGACCATCTTGCAAAGCGAGGGTTAAATGGGGAAAAGTTTGCAGTTTTGCTTGCTGAGTTTAGACTAATTAAGATTTGAAAAACGGTTTTTGGACTTTAATATTGACAAAAAATCTTTAAGTTTGAGAGACAAATTATGTCTCATTTTGAAAATAGTTGTGTATTTTTTCCCAGATTTACACACGTTTTTCTTTTTTTAAATTGAGATTTAAGCTGGCTGTAATGCATTAGAGCAAGAAGTAGCAAATCAAACAAAAACTAAAAATGAAAGCCAAATATAGAAAAAAAATCAGTCACACTTTTTTGATAGAATGAAATAAATTTCTCTTAAGGTCGTCAAAATGTTTAGAGCCGGAGCGTTCCTGGAAATGAAAAATCGCGTGGGTGTCTTCCAGGCTGGAGTCTGGACCCGGGAATTGTCAAGTATTTACTTTAGTCAGATGTAATCAGATAACTTCTAGTATATTTAATGAAAAACGAAAACAAAATGAAACAAGTCATCTGTTTCCAGTGGAATCGCATCTGCTTAGATTGGTTGCGCCGGAAAGTTTGCAAAAGTAGTCAGTACAAGTAAAAATGTAGTCATTCATTCAAGCCAGAGTATTATTTATTTTTACCATTAATCAATATTGTCATATTTTAGCCTTAATTTTGCTGTTATTGTTGTATTCTTAGCGATTTTCCTAGAAAATTGTTGATATTTATTTAACCTTTTGGGTTGAGTTGAGTGATGTTTCGTTTCTTTAACAGATAATTAATTTTCCGTTCAATTTAAAAACTTTTCGGCTTCTGGTATATTTATTGAATCTTTCAGGGACCAAATGGGCTTTAGAATTCACTAAAATACGAGCGCATTTGAAGGGCGGAATAAACCTAACTTATAAAGGAGTTTTTATTAATTTAAAAATTGTTTTATTATTTATTCATTAAAAGAAGCCGTTATTTTGGTATATGAATATTATTAGTATTTTGGTATATACTACTTTTGGATCTGTTAATAATTGGGCAGCCCTCACCACATATCAGGCTGAAGCGACCCAAAGTTTCATGAACTTTATTGAGCAAAAGACAGTATTAGAGAGTTAGTTTAGCTAGTATTTAATTGTGCATACAAAAGTCGCCGCACGAAAGACTATGTTTGCCTATCTTTGGCTGAGAAAACTACTTTGTTTACAAGTTTGCGGAAATGTTTACAGAAATCAGTACAAAATGAACAACAATAAAGAAACTGAAATCAAACAGCAAACCAATGAGTCCAAACACATTAATATATAAAGAGTCCTACGAAGGTTGAGCGAGCAAACGATTATATCATACGGTACGTATTTAATGTGATAAACACCTTAATATCGCATGAGTTTCTTCAACAAGATGAACATTTACTTCAGTTCAAGTTTTGTTCTATGGCTCATATGTATATGGACAACGGAAGTAATCGGTCGTCGGTTCTTTGTTCATAAACGGGATAAATGTACCAATTTAGTGCCATTTTAGCAAATACGGTCGATCATATTATCTGTTAATTGCTGAGTGTAATCCACATTTATTTTCAACTTCTGGATATTCATTGTGCGTTCAAGTGAAGTGTGTGCTTTTTGAGAATTAATTGATAGACAATGGAGGATGGGGCGCCGGTTTTCAGAAAACAGCTAAGAAGGATTATTAATCTATAGACCTTGAACTGAGTTTAGTTTTTCGAGAAACAATTAGTTTTATTTCGTTCTCCTTTTTTTCCAGTGAAACAACTGGGTTTTAGACCAATTGGCCAAACTATTCAGATTTCGCGCTGTTTTTCTCAATTTAAAAAAACATTTTTTGTTAAAGAATTTGCGTTAGGGATTTTCAGGTGCTAGGATCCGTCCGATTAATTGTATTTTTAACTCTTGATTGCATTATCGTTGTCCAAGTTTTAACAAATTTAATTTTGCTAGTTAAGAGGCCCATGCTAGTAAGAAGCTAGTAAGCAGCTAGTATAGAGAGAATGTGCTGCAATGTTTTCTTCTAAAAATTTGGAGCCTAAAGTTGGGGGTTTTTGGTTGGTAGGACTCCAACACTATCTGGTACCTTGGGATACAGGGGCTGATCCAGCTTTCGAGTCAGAGGCGGGATTCAAGTAGTAGAAATTCAGTCTTTTGTTGTCTATGATATTAGAAAAATTATCGTTAGTCGTTATAAATCCAGCACAAGGG